AGCCGTGAGCTATCGAGCCGACATTGGGTTTGTTGGGGTCATGGGATACCCCTCCGGAAAAGGCAAGGCTGGCTTAGGACACTCGGGCAGAATCAGGGTTTTTTTGCAATAGTGAAGCAGGTTGTATAGGACGCAAACCGTTTTCAAGAGAACATATCTAAGGAGCCTATCCGCAAGTCGGTTTTGGCCTCAGTGCTTGTGGATTCTCTTTCGAAGTACTTGTGCTGAAGAACGTATTCTTGCCGAAGGTGTGAATACCGAGCCGCTCCCACAACGTCATGCTGACCTCTTAGCCAGTCGACAACAAATGAACACTTCGCGAGACATGCGAGACGTATCCCTATGAAGCAGTCGGTCTGTTTTTAGGTGCCTCCTGCGGAGCAGCCAACCAAGAGGGATGATGACGCAACTTTACTGCACTTTAATGCATCGATGAGGATAGCTGACGATGTGAACACAGAGGCATGCCAATGTGAGTTGAATAACCTAGAGTCCGAAATCAGAAATCAAAACTCTGGCAGAGCTCAACGTCTTAGGATTGGAAGTCACAGATCCGCCGCCCGCCTCCAGATCAGCGTTTCAAGACAGAAGACGTCACAAACACCAAGGGCAATGATTTCGAAGACTACTTTCTGTGCCTAAGCTGCAGCTACGCAGATTGATGAACTATTTTGCATATCTTTGCATTTAGTTGTCATGGCATGTGTGAGTGCAATTAGTAACAAGGAAGCGGGAATTGCTGATGGGCATCTTTGAAATGGGCTACGAAAAGCCCTCGCCCATCCAAGAAGAAAGCCTACCTGTGGCACTGGCGGGCAAGTCCATATTGGCCAGAGCAAAGAATGGAACCGGGAAGACCGGTGCATTTGTGATCCCCATTCTCGAGAAGTGCAACACTACTAAGAATGCAATCCAGGGGTTGATCCTTGTTCCGACGAGGGAATTGGCATTGCAAACATCTTCAGTGGTGAAAGAAATTGGGAAGCACATGAACATCCAGTGCATGGTCTCCACAGGTGGAACAAGCCTACGAGAAGACATCATGCGACTGTACAATGAAGTCCACATAGTAGTGGCCACTCCTGGCCGTGTGCTTGACCTTGCCAACAAGAACGTGTGCAACCTGAAGCAATGCCATATGGTAGCCATGGATGAAGCTGACAAGCTTTTGTGTCCTGAGTTTCAGCCAATCATTGAAGACCTTGTGAAGTTCTTGCCGCCAGAAAGGCAAATCCTGATGTATTCTGCAACCTTCCCCATGACGATTTTGGATTTTAAGAATCGCTTCATGGCGGATGCCCATGAGATAAATTTGATGGAAGAACTGACACTGAAAGGTGTCTCTCAGTACTACGCTTTTGTGGAAGAACGCCAAAAGGTTCATTGTCTCAACACTCTGTTCTCAAAGCTGCAGATCAACCAGGCGATCATTTTTTGCAACTCTGTGACGCGCGTGGAGTTGCTGGCCAAGAAGATTACGGAACTTGGATACTCATGCTTCTTCATTCACTCGCGCATGTACCAGTCTCACAGGAACCGAGTGTTTCATGACTTCAGGAATGGGGCGTGCCGGTGTTTGGTGTCCTCGGACCTGTTTACACGTGGCATTGACATCCAGTCCGTGAATGTTGTGATCAACTTTGATTTTCCCAAGAACTCAGAGACCTATTTGCATCGTATAGGGCGCTCAGGCCGTTTCGGTCACTTGGGCTTGGGCATCAATTTTGTGACCTATGATGACCGCTTCAACCTCTACCGCATTGAGAAAGAGTTGGGCACCGAGATCCAACCTATCCCGCCGACCATTGA